TGTGTTTTTTTTAAAAAAAATCATTTTTATTAATTTCCCAATAAAAAAATCCAATTAATATATCCAATCATAATCCAATTAAAATAAAAAACTAAAATAAAAAAGACCAAATTATAATTCAAATTAAAATTGTTGATTTTTCGGAGCTCCCCATAGTCTGGACCTCTGAAGCATATCTCCACTTCTCAGTCCTGCCTCTCCTCGTTGTTTCCATATTTTCCACATCTCAATTTTAACGCATTAAAATTCTCCGTCCCTGGTTCCACGATTCTCAGTCATGTCAAACATCATATATCCTTTCATCCGTCAATTACAGCTTTATTTGTGTATATATATTTTTCCAACTGCCTTTTTACCAGCGCAGCTTCCCCAGATTGTTAAGCCATTCTGGAACTTGCAGCTCTGGGAGGAGAGATGGGGGTCTCTAAACAACTCTCAGCACCCTTCACAAACTACAGGTCCCAGAATTCTTTGGAGAAAGCCATTTCCTTTTAAAGCAATATCATGGTGCTTTGCATTTATGGTGCGAATTACGGCCAAGGTCTGTCTGTCTCTATCTCCCTCCACCCCCCTCTTTTTTTAGTGGATGAAAAGAAACAGTGGTCAGATTATGCGTCTCCAGGATACTATTCCCCACCCCCCCAATAATAGTAACCTGAAACAATGACCTAGGTAGATGCACTGCAAGTTTAAATGCCATTTATTTAATAAGTTCCTCACCACTGGCTAATGTTGTTATAATGAAGTTGAGAACCAGATCGCAGGGGAAACTGATGCCGGCCTTGGTTTGGTAAATTGTCTTCCAAGGAGAACAGGCTGGCATATTTTCCGAGGTTCTAATCTATTTTTAAACAGGTCTCAAATTGTAGCAGCAGCCACAATCTCTGCTGTAGTTAATGGGCTGCCAGAGCTCCTGTTCGCTGAATGACTGTTCCCTGGATCAGAAGTTAAAGGCATCATGTCATTGTCACTGGGTCAACGGCAGTGAGTCTAACAAAGGACCTTGAAGTACCCCAGGGGACTGGCGCATCTGGCAGCTTCCAGCAAGGTAGGAAGGTCGGTGCTGGAACGCAGTGCAGATCCAAGCCCTGTGACAACTTCACAGGCTCTTCCTTTTATTTGCAAAATCCACTCTTTCTCTCTGAGAATGATGGCTCCCTCCCTATGAGACATCTCCTCTCCCTCCTGTGCTTGGTATTAATTAATACATGCACATGACCTCTGATGATCAACTGACCGCAAAGGTTTATAATCCCAGCCTCCCAAAATAAAGTTTTATTGATTCTCACACAGCTCAAGGTGTTACTATTAGCAAACAAAACTTGGAACCATTTGCTTGTGAGATCGACTGAACCCTAAATGCCTACTTGAATGCTTCAATCTGCAGAACAGGTGCTGTTACAGGTATGGCATAATACTCCTAAGAAATATGCCTTTTAGTGTGGCAGCACCCATACTTTGGAACCCCCTGCCTATTGATGCCAGGCATAGGGATGCGGGTGGCGCTGTGGTCTAAACCACTGCGCCTCTTGGGCTTGCCGATTGGAAGGTCGGCGGTTCGAATCCCCGCAACAGAGTGAGCTCCCGTTGCTTTCTCCCAGCTCCTGCCAACCTAGCAGTTTGAAAGCACACCAGTGCAAGTAGATAAATAGGTACTACTGTGGCAGGAAGGTAAATGGTGTTTCCGTACACTCTGGTTTCTGTCATGGTGTTCCGTTGCACCAGCAGCAGTTTAGTCATGCTGGCCACATGACCCGGAAAGCTGTCTGCGGCAAATGCCAGCTCCCTTGGCCTGAAAGCGAGATGAGCACCGCAACCCCATAGTCGCTTTTGACTGGACTTAACTGTCCAGGGATTCTTTACCTTTACCTTACCTACCTGACATCAGACAGGCACCTTCAAGATAGTCTTTTCAGCACCTTGAATGCACAGACTTGTGCCTGGAAATCATGGCACAAAAGGAAGTCTGGGTGAGTCCTTGATGTATAGGATTGTGCTGAAAGAGTGACTTCTCAGCACCCTCATGAAACTATAGTTCTCAGGATCATTCATGGGAAGGGATGACAGTAACTACTGTAAAGTCAGCACTTGTTTGGAGTACAGTCATACCTCATGTTACATCCGCTTCATGTTACGTTCTTTCAGGTTATGTCCCGCGGCGACCCGGAAATACCAGAAAGGGTTACTTCTGGGTTTCACCGCTCGCGCATGCACAGAAGTGCAAAATGACATCACACGCATTTGCAGAAGTGGTGAATCGCAATCCGTGCATGCGCAGATGCGCCGCTGCGGGTTGCGCTCTTTTCATGTTGCGAACGAGCCTCTGGAACAGATCCCCTTCACAACCAGAAGTACCACTGTATTCCCCCAGCTGCTACTAATAAGATATTCCCATGGCTTGAGATCAAACAAGGAAGTACCCGTATTTTTTGCTCTATAAGACGCACCAGACCACAAGACGCACCTAGTTTTTGAGGAGGAAAACAAGAAAAAAAATATTCTGAATCTCAGAAGCCAGAACAGCAAGAGGGATCTCTGCGCAGTGAAAGCAGCAATCCCTCTTGCTGTTCTGGCTTCTGGGATAGCTGCACAGCCTGCATTCGCTCCATAAGACGCGCACACATTTCCCCTTACTTTTTAGGAGGGAAAAAGTGAGTCTTATAGAGCAAAAAATACGGTATTTGGGTATTAGATACTATCTTGACCAGCTGAGGGTAGGCTGAGAATGGATTACAGGCCGGAGAAGCTGTCTATCAGAATTTCAGCACCTAATCTAGAAAAAGAGTAAAAATGAAAGGTTAAATAGTTCAGTCATTTTGTGTGATTTTAGGAAACTCCAGCCCTGCAACATGGCTGAGAAACTATCTTGGAAACGAAACCAATTATATATCATTTCACCATTTTCTGGTTCCATTTCCCCCCACATCTAGGCACAGGCGAATAAAATACATATGCGTAGTCCCACACACACACACACGCACACCCCCCCATGCTCACTCACACACATTGTTTTTACATTTAAATATATATTGCTTTTAAATTTTAAATGTAGATGTGAGCGATAAGACCTGTGTCAGCAGAGAAATTAGATTGTGAAGTCAAGTGAAGAAGCCAGACACTACAAAATTATTAAAAGACTGTTTCTCATTCATGGGCTCTGGCTTTGATCGCCATTTTCACTGGTGAAAATTCAGAACACCATCAAAGCATTCACTTCCCAGATGACGGAAGCCATATGAGGCAAAATACATGTATTTTCTAAAAACTCACAAAAAGTGGGACAGCCAAAATAGCAATGGAGAAGAACTTCCCATTGCTCACAAAGTCATAGGATTAGTTAGAAGGGCGTTGAAAACGACATGGTACCTTCCACAATTCCATTGTTTGGACTTGGTTGTGGAAAGTCCACTCAAAATAACATGAGAAGAGTTGGCCCAGTATACCTGAAGGACATCTCCACTCCCATCGTTCCGCCCGGACACTGAGCTCCTGCTCTGAGGGCCTTCTGGCAGTTCCCTCACTGCGAGAAGTGAGGTTACAGGGAACCAGGCAGAGGGCCTTCTCGGTAGTGGTGCCCGCCCTGTGGAACGCCCTCCCATCAGATGTCAAGGAAATAAACAACTATCTGACTTTTAGAAAACATCTGAAGGCAGCCCTGTTTAGAGATGTTTTTAATGTTTTATGTTTTATCGTGTTTTTAATTTTCTGTTGGGAGCTGCCCAGAGTGGCTGGAGAGGCCCGGCCAGATGGGCAGGGTATATGTAGTAAATTGTTGTTGTTGTTGTCATTGTATTCAGAAAGCATTTCCACCTTCATGTAACAAGAAGAATGGAGTGGGCTGGAGGAGGTTACTAAGGAGGGTCTCGTGTGAGCAAATTCTGCCAAACAAAATAAGAGAAACCAAAGCAATCTTGAAGGTCAGCAGTCAATGGGACTTGGAGCAATATGGTGACCCACTACCAGTAATGCGAATAACAGGGGTCACCTACTACCAGAGGTGCCATCTTCTGAAGAACATTGAGGGCCCCCCATGTGACGTGCTGACGTCACATGATGTCCTGACGTCTCTCTGTTTCCAGCTCTGTGTTTTGCCTGGACATTGGGGGGGGGGTCCGGCCCCCTCAAAAATAAGATTGAGGGAGCCCAAAGAGCCTTGGCCCCCTGGAGCTGGTGCTTGTGCCTACTACCCTGCAGTAACCTGAACAAGGGTGCAGAATGGACATCCAATATCGCATTGACCCAGTTCACATGGAGGGATGGCTGAATTTGTCACTTGTGGTTTCTTTTTAAAAAAAATCAAAAATAAAAGTCCTCATGAAAATTCATCAGCATTACGCTGCAGATTTCTCATCACATGTCTATTTTTGCTCATTTTTTATCCACAGTTCATTTGTTTATTTCTTTCATCAAATTTGTATACAACTTGACTGTATGAAAAACCTCAAAGCGGGTTTCAAAAACTGTATTTGCTCTAGTATATACACTTTGTACACCTTACTTGGCTGTGCAAAATTACTTGCAGTGCAAAATTTGGAGAGGTGTGACTTCTGAAGGAGAGCTGTGATTTGGTTCATGTATAGTTTCAGAAAGTGCAAATCAGGTAAGCCCGCCTTTGAACGCGAACTGAATCAACCTTCTATGGAAACCCAAACTGCGGCTTAGAACTGCATGAATGTGTAGAGGACCTCAAGGTTTGGCTTATCTTCCGAATTTGTGGGTAAACTCTATCCACATTAATTTTAGCTACAGCTTGAGCAGCTACCATTTTAAAAGATTGTCAGTTGCATCACAGTTATTTATTTATTTGGAGCATTTTTATGTTGCCCTATAACACAAAACTGATAAATGATAAAAGCAAAAGTGATAGAAGCAAAAGTGAATATGTGCAACAAAGCATATGCAGTGAATATATACACAGACATGCAAGATTAAAAACAGATTTTAAAACTGAAAGTCGCCTGAGGCGACACCGAAAACTGAGAGCCAGAACATTGTCAAGGGTTTAACACAGTTGGGTAGAGTGTGGTGCTGATAATGCAAAGGTCACAGGTTCAATCCCTATATAGGACAGCTGCATATACTGCTGCATTGAACGGGGTTGGACTGTTATTAAGGTTCCCCAAACTTGGGTCTCCAACTGTTTTTGGACTACAGTTCCCATCATCCCTGAGGAAACCCAAGTTTGGGAAACCCTGGACTAGATGATCCTCAGGGCCCTTCTAACTCTAAAATAAAGGTAAAGGTAAAGGACCCCTGGACGGTTAAGTCCAGTCAAAGGCGACTATGGGGTTGAAGCGCTCATCTCGCTTTCAGTCTGAGGGAGCCGGCGTTTGTCCACAGACAGGTTTCTGGGTCATGTGGCCAGCATGACTAAACTGCTGCTGTCGCAACAGAACAGTGCCAGAAACCAGAGCACACGGAAATGCCATTTACCTTCCCACCACAGCAGTACCTATTTATCTACTTGCACTGGCGTGCTTTCAAACTGCTAGGTTGGCAGGAGTTGGAGCAGAGCAACGAGAGCTCACTCCATTGTGGGGATTCGAACCGCTGACCTTCTGATTGGCAAACCCAAGAGGCTCAATGGTTTAGACCACAGTGCCACCCGCATCCTTCTAATTCTACAATTCTATGATTCTATGATTTGCAGTCTGTCAAAAGAAAAAGAAAAATTCCAATTCTGATGTGGCAGTAGATGAATGTGAGTGGGTCACTACGTAAGCACTTGACCGTGCAAGTAGATCCATACCTTCTGAGGGCTGGTGGTGATCGCCAGACTCAAGGGACCCTTCCCTTTGTGTCATGAAATCAAGCCTTCTTCCAAGGTAATGTGGTCTTGGCTAGCAAGACGGCAAAGGTAGCTGTTGTTTTTGGCTCTTGCATCAGAGCTGATCCCTGAAGTGAGGCCAAGACCTGCAATCGTTTGCCTTGGTTGAAAAGAAAACAAACTGAACCGGTACAGTACACACTTCTGAGGTAATTACTGCCATTAGATCACAGCCTGGAAATGAATTTCAAGTCACATAAGGAAAATGATACCCCCACGTTAAAAAAAGAGAAATGCCTCAGAACAGTTTTATGACAGTCCCTAGTCAAAAGGTTCGCAAAACAGAAGGCGTGGCACTGCAAGCTGAAGGAGATATTATGCAAAACTTACAGATGATACAACAAATAGCTGCAGTGTTTTATTTTACCAATCTTCCAAAGTACAAATAAAGGTTTAACATCTAAAGAATTTGCCGCCTTTCTACTGGTTGCAGCAAGGAAGTCTATTGCTCAACACTGGAAAGCTTAACCAAACAATTGTGGTATAAAAATATGTGGAATATTGCTATTTTGCTTTAGTCTAGTTTAGTTTAGTTTAGTTTAAAAATTTGGTTTAAAATTAATTTAAGGCAAGGCACAACCTCTGTATTTTTGTGCAGTCTGGTGGGATTTTATACAATATATCAACAATAATAACTTAAGTGATCCACTTCTGGAGGTGAATAAGAATATTTTGTTATCATAAGGGTACAAAATGTTGTCCTTCTTGTAGACAGACGGTATTTCCTTTCATTGTCTTTTTACTTTAACCTTGTATTCAAATTTTACTTCAATTTGCTACTGCATAATATCAGTTTATTAATATTACAGCAGAACTACAAAGAAATGGAAGAAGAAAAAGGTGAAACCATACGCATTATATTTCCCAATGCTGTAACTGCATAATTTCTTTACCCATTGCTGTGCAAGTTGTGTTGGTTGGATTAAAGAAAAGCCTTCCCAGTGGATTAAACAATAGCCGTTCCAAACTTCAATCCCAAGAGGAATAATAGAACTGTAGAGTTGGAAGGGACCAGGAGAGGCGTCTAGTCCAACACCTAGCAATTCAGGAATCTTTTGCCCAACATGGGATTCAAACCCATCACTCTGAGATTAAGAGACTCATGCTCTACCGACCGAACTATTTTGCAGCTGCTTCATTCAAAGCATTCTGTAGGGCCCTTTGCAAGACCTGCACTGTGCACTTGGCCATCATTGTGACATCAGGAGTATAGACAGGTGAGTGGTCTGTCCACTAATCAGATTTGGCCCATGAAGAATAAGGCAGATAAGGACCTGGACCACCAATCAGATGAGGTTTGGCATGGAGTCTAATTTCAGAAGGAGGCTTAACCCTTTAGCCCAGGCATCCCCAACCTGCGGCCCTCCAGATGTTTTGGCCTACAACTCCCATGATCCCTAGCTAACAGTGGTCAGGGATGATGGGAATTGTAGTCCAAAACATCTGGGGGGGCCGAAGGTTGGGGGTGCCTGCTTTAGCCAATCTATACCCATGGCAAAGTCCTATTTGCAGCCTTTCAAAGTGGGGGCCGCCGAGACCACATAACACTGGTCTTGAAAGACCTACATTGGCTCCCAGGTCGTTTCAGAGCACAATTCAAAGTGTTGGTGTTGAACTTTAAAGTCCTAAACAGCCTCAGCCCAGTATACCTGAAGGAGCATCTCCACCCCCATTGTTCTGCCTGGACGCTGAGGTCCAGCGCAGAGGGCCTTCTGGTGGTTCCCTCATTGCGAGAAGCAAAGCTACAGGGAACCAGGCAGAGGGCCTTCTCGGTAGTGGCGCCTACCCTGTGGAACACCCTCCCATCAGATGTCAAAGAGATAAACAACTACCTGACATTCAGAAGACATCTGAAGGCAGCCCTGTTTAGGGAAGCTTTTAATGTGTGACATTTTCGTGTATTTTTGGTCTTTGTTGGAAGCCGCCCAGAGTGGCTGGGGAAACCAGCCAGATGGGCAGGGTACAAATAATCAGTTATTATTATTATTATTATTATTATTATTATTGGCTCTTGGGTGGGTGCTTTTTCCTTCCACCTCCTCCCCTTTCTTAGGGAATCATGGACTGTTGTTTTAGCTCAGGGTCCAGTAGTCGCTTGGCCCTTGTTCCAAGTGAGAAAGGACTGCAGTATCAAAGATTGACTTAATTTTCATTGCCGTACATAAAACATCTGACCGTATTTGCTGAGAAAACTCCCAATGTCTCGCTTTATTTGCACAGGCAGAGGGGAAAGTACAGGGTATCTGTCTGGGAGTGAACATCAAAGGGGAGTGAGCAGGGTGACAGATATTTGGATACGCAGTATGAGAGCCGGCTGGGATGGGAGTCTTGGGGGTCTCTTGGTTTACCAAGATGAATCCCAATTGGAACTGCCTCATTCTCTCAAACCCCCCACCCTTTATTATCACTTCACGGTTAACATCTGTTGATGAGTAGGATTAACGGCCCTCTTTTTCAATGACATCGAGCTCTTTTAACGAGCTCTCTTCAGTCAAAGGTGGTTGGCCTTAGAAGGGGGGGGGGGGAAACAAAGGAGAGAATAGTCATTAAGCAAACAATCCTTTGCCAGGATTTGATGCTAAACATGCTATCGCCCCGACGTGAGTGATTCGCTGGAGATGAAATTTATTCCGCAAGAATCTGACCTTGATGTTGGTTAACAAGAATTCACTCTTTCGCTTGTCATTATTAAGAACTTCAGACGCCTCAAATGGCCTGCGCTCTCTCTTAAACATCCATTATGTAGGGTTTTCTCTTAAATGATCGTTCCCGTTAATAATAATGCCTGTTAGTAATGCCTTGGTGATATATCCCCAAACAGGAGACGAATCTTGGTCAAATCTCCGGTGGTGACTGGTGTTAGTTTGGACTGGTATGGAGGAAGGTGTTGTTGAGAGAGGGGCAGTAGTTGGCAGAGCCCATGACTGGCAGAGACAAATAATTCTAGTTTTGTCCCCATCCTCCCAGTGCCGTCCCCACCTCTCTCAGACTGCTAGCAAGTAAATGTAATGGGTCCCTTGGTCCTGTCAGGAACTGACAGGATTTTGGAGCCCCAGATGTAAGACAGGGGTGGACCTTGGTAATATGGATTCTTCAGCAGCCTGCCCTTCAATGGCTCCCACTACGTTTCTGAGCACAATTCAAAGTGTTGGTGCTGAGCTTTAAAGCCATAAATGGCCTTGGCCCAGTATATCTGAAGAAGCGTCTACACCTCCATTGTTCTGCCTGGACACTGAGGTCCAGCTCCAAGGGCCTTCTGGTGGCTCCGTCACTGTGAGAAGTGAGGTTACAGGGAACCAGGCAAAGGCCTTCTCGGTAGTGGCGGAATGCCGTCCCATCAGATGTCTCAAGGAAATAAACAACTGTCTGACTTTTAGAAGACATCTGAAGGCAGCCCTGTATAGGGAAGTTTTTAATGTTTGATGTTTTATCATGTTTTTTATATTCTGTTGTGAGCTGCCCAGAGTGGCTGAGGAGGCCCGACCAGATGGCTGGGGTATAAGTAATAAATTATTATTATTATTATTATTATTATTATTATTATTATTATTACCTCTGTCACCTGCACCCTCTCTCTGCTTCTGCCTCTTGAGTTTGGCATGTCCTCTGACACAGCCCCTTCCTGCTCCCCAACTCTGTTGCCTCTTCAGAGCCAGTGTGGTGTAGTGGTTAAGAGCGGTAGACTCGTAATCTGGTGAACCGGGTTCGCTTCCCCGCTCCTCCACATGCAGCTGCTGGGTGACCTTGGGCTAGTCACACTTCTCTGAAGTCTCTCAGCCCCACTCACCTCACAGAGTGTTTGTTGTGGGGGAGGAAGGGAAAGGAGAAAGTTAGCCGCTTTAAGACTCCTTCGGGTAGTGGTAAAGCGGGATATCAAATCCAAACTCTTCTTCTTCTGCTTCTGACATCACCACCTCCCAGTCTGCTCCCTCTTCAAACTCTGACCACTCGTTGTCATCTCCCCACTAATCTCCTGGCTCTGAGCCTTCTTCCTTTGGGGGTTCCCATGGGGTTCCTCAGTTTGTGCTTCCTCTGCATCCAGCCAGTCCATGACATCCAGGCCTTAACACCCTGAGAAATTGAGTATGTATGATGTCTTGCTTAACGTGATCAGATTGCATTGCATTCTACAGAGACCCGCCAGCTGCTATTGCCGTACCAAGAAGGTTGATGCCTTCACCTCAATGACAATTTGAATGGATTAACTCATAATGCTTTGAGATCGTAACTGTTAAACTGCCACCTTTGGCAGCCTGCTGGAACTCTTCCTTATGGGTGGACATCAAATTTTATTACTGCAGTTTATGAGTCTGTCCTGATATACAGAGTGTTTGTAATCAATTTGTGATAATTGGAAATCCTGGCTTTGTTGCTGTCAACAGGTGATGTCTGCATCGCCTCAGGCTTCCTGCTTTAAAGTACCATCAGCTTTATCATTGCATAGCTCAAGCATAGATTTGCACAAAACTTGCATAAAAAGCTGTACTAGCAAAGCAATTCGCCAAGTTTCAAAGCAAAGTTTGAATTGATTCAGGGATCTGGGCTGATCTGGCTTCAAATCAAGTTGCCAGATCAGGCCTCATTTGGATTGGGCACAGCCTTAGTTGTAACTACTTTATGTTGCAGAGCTTTTGAAGGGCACTAAAGTAGCCAATGAGGAGGACAAGAATTCTTCCATGTTGCTTTTGCTTCCGTCTTTATTCTTTAAATTGTCTTGTCACCATGTTTAAGTCTCCACTGGTTTGGGGACTTCCGGGGTGGCGCCTCCGGAAAATGGCGGAATTCCCTTCGAACTGAAGGGAACCCGCTGCACGGAGGCTTGGGTCCTGCCGCTACGGCGCAGCGGGGACCCTTAAAAACCACAGGCGGAAGAAGCCTGTGGGCGTGGGACTCGGCGGGCACCGAGAGCGCTCTCTCCCTTGTACAGGAGCCCGGCAACGGGCTCCGGAGGGGGAGGTGCGTGGTGCTGTGAGTCGTCTGCTTCCACCGTGCACCAAAGCCGCACTGCCGTTTTCGGAGAGCGCCGCCTTTTCCTGGACAATTTGGCATCTAAAACATCTATCCGTGAGTACCCGATCCTGGAAGAGCTGAACTACTTTTAAGATTGGTGAATAAATAAATAACATTGGACTTGAACTTGAAATTGAATTTAATTGGGACTCGGAACGGAAAGGTCTAAACAGGAAGTCGCCTTCCGTTCTTTTGTTATGTGAAGAAAGCAAAGACAAATTATACTAAAGCTTGAAAACTAAATTCTGAGAGAACTAATTCAACATCTAAGATTTCTGAACCCCCCCTTTGATTGCAGAAGAAGAAGGGGGTTGTTTTGATCTTTTTAACCCTGCGGAAGTGAGTTTAAAATAAAGTAATTTTCCACCGCCCTGAACCAGGAGCGGGCTGTCAGAACTGACGTTTTGAAACTTATCCAGCTCGACAGATAGTTAAAAGAAGGGTAACATTTTGATTCTACTGTTGCCTCTTGAATTTGAAAGGGGAATTTTGGATAAAGTGTTTCTGGAAAAGAAAGATTGTTACTGTTGTTTTCCCCTTTTAAAAAAAATAAAAAAAGAGGGTTTTCCATCTAGTGGAACTGAGTGAAATTGCAATGCAGAGAGTTTAAAAGAGAAGGACCATTCTCGTGGGAAAGAATTTTCTCTGACCTTGAAGGACAATGCTTGTACAAAGGCTTGAACAAGTGTTCCTGGAAGGTTTTGCAAAATTAAGTGCCCAGCTGGACCAGATGCGTCAGGAGTCGACCTTGATGAGGACGGAAGTTACCAGAGCACAGCAGCAAACAAATGAAATTCAGTTAAAGTCTATACAAGTATATGAACCTGCTGTAGCGACGGAGGCTTCAGAGATGGAGGGACCTATGGATGGGCAAGATCAGCCTTTGAACTTGATAAATGAACTTGGGACAAACCTGATTCGGAAAGATGAAATGTGGTCAGCTTTGGAAATGGGGGATGGATTGACACCCTCTATATGGTTATTTGGACTTTCCGAGTCTAGTGATGGGCCATCAGAGGATTGGAGTAGTTGAAGTCTCCAAGTTTTGTGGAAATTGGAAGTGGCATTATCTGCTGTCTGGCTTGGGTAATGGGTTTGGGATGGACTTGCTGCAAAGAG